TGCGCACTCCTTTTGTGTCCAGTGCGCACTCCTCGAATCTGCATCCACTTCCAAAACCTGCACACATGCACGCCTTACGGCACGGCTTACGGAGGGTTCAAGGGTTCGAGGGTTTCCGGCTGTAGGGTTTAGGTGCTGATGGGAAGAACCTTGTGCAGCTCCCGTGATGCCAGTATGCGAAGCCATGGGAAGCATGAAACGAATTGAGAACGTCTTTTGCCGGCGCACACATCAAACTGGGCGGTTGCCTTTTGTGTTTGTAGTGCTGAATCGTGACCTTCCGGGGCTTCTGTGCTTAGCACTAGATCATGCCTTCCAGAACGCCTAATTTGGGCCATCAGGCCTGAGCATGCATGCAGCTGTCAAACGAAGGCACCTGTGCAGCAGTGTAGTTTCATCACTCCTCCTTGAGCGACAATATCATTGGAGATCACACTCCAATTCCGTAGCTGCATCAGTGTTCATCCGGTCCTTCGTTCGCGAAGGGACCTGCCTCCATTTTGTTGACAGCAAGCACAAAGTCGAAGTGCTCTTGGTCGGGTGTTTCTCAAGCCCCAACATCCCTCAACCGTATGAAAGGTGTCACCATGGGGACTGACATAGACTGGTCCGGGGTGCCACTCACGAACAGGCACCGGAACATCCCGGTCAAGGTACTCGATGATGGGGACATAGTCCTCGTTGATGATCGTTTGAGTAGCCGTAGTAGTGGTTTGCGGTCGTAGCAAACCCTGCGCACCTTGGTTTGGTGACGAACCCAACCTTGTCCTATCTTGCCTCGTAGATGAAATGCTCGCTGCTGTAGGACGTTGTAGCTGCGGTGGACTCCTGGAAGTTGTCGTCCGCGGTGTAGGGGTAGGTCTGGCGGGAGGAGTCACGCCTCCTTGCTCATCCAATCCTTGAATCTGAGCTTCTAGTTCACGCTGTACTACTTCACGAAGTCTCCTCGCCCGCCTCCCAGCCCGAGTGCTCTCGGGCGCTGCGCAGCACCGATCAACACAGAGCCACACAAACTCCCACATTGCCACAACTGCAACCCCAACCAACGCCAGGATCACGTAGAGCTCGAGTGATGTTGTGTCCAAGGCCAGTGGGTCCTGCTGGTCCTGCGCTCTAGCAGACTGAATCATTGTGCACAGTATCATAGCCTTCAACAAGGTTGCCGCAGCTCCATCCGCAATGCGCCCGATTCCCCATAGCGTAACCAATTCCTCAAGCCTCTGGCGAGGGAAGGCCTTCGTAAGGAGATCCGCCAGCTGGTGCTGGCCCCTGACATACTTGAGAACCACCTTCTCGGTTTGAACCTGCTCCCTTATGAAGGCTGCTCGTACTCGGAGATGCCTTGTACGCCACGAAGTAGATCCTGTAGGTCTCGCTATGGCAATCGTCGACTGATTGTCGATTGCCAAAGTAATCACCAACTCCTTGCCCATGAGCTCCTCAATAACCGCACCCAGGGACATAGCCATCTTCAGCCCCTCGATGGCGGCTGTAAGTTCACTTTCCGCTGTCGAAAGGCACACATAGGGAGTCCTTGTAGCTCGCCATGATAAAGGAGCTCCTCTCCAGGTGATCAGGACACCTGAATGTGACCTTCTCCCCTCCGGCGCGTAGGAGCTGTCTGTAAAGGTGACATACTCGTCGTTCTGGGGAACGATGGCCAGGGCATAGTCCTGGGTGTGCTGCAGGTAAGACAGCAGCTTAGTACCAACCACGATGCACCGTGGGGCAGCCCGACTTATCAACGCTCCCATCGCATTCACGGTGAAGCTGATATCAGGTCGGGTGCGCTGCGCCAACCATAGTAGCTCACCGCATAAACGCTGAGCCTGTTTCACCTCTCCTTCATCCCCTTTTGGTTCATCTTCTTCAGCCTCAAACGTTACCAAGTGCTTGGGGGCTTGAATCGGAGAAGTAGCGGTCTCTGGTACATCATGGGCCCGGAGGATCTCCTTGATGTAGGGCTGCTGGTGGAGGTAGTAGCGGTCGTGCTCGTCATTGGTGAGAATCTCACACCCCAAGAACCTTATCCCATGGGTAGATGAGAGCATTTCCAAATCCGTAGTCTTCCAAGTCTCGCTCAGCTTACGGGCAACGGCTCGGATCAAGCTCAACCTTCCACATAGGAGAATGTCGTCGACATAGATGAGCACCAATGCTCCAGGTGAGCCTTCTGGGGCACCCACTTCAACGAGAGCCCACATGTTTGGCTCCGCGTCGCCCTGCTTCAGCAGCCACTGCATCCCTTCAACATCAAACCTCATGGCAGCAATCGTGCGGTCTCTAAACTCGGACCACAGCTTGGGGCTCTGACGAAGTCCATACATGCCGTGGGTGAGTATCCACCTTTCATCCTCAGTGGCTAGCCCGAGCTTCACCAAGACAGATGGAGGGTGGATGACGTAGGTCGTCTCATTCGGGCCTTCCGGTAGAGGGGTCAGCATAAACGCCCCAGCAATATCCAACAAAGCAGTGAGCCATCTCTGCCATGCTGAATACGTCAAGCAGCTCCTCAAACTCTCGGCCGCCGCACCCGATGCGAAGATATCGGCCTGGTCCGGAGATGCATAATTTCCACAGCAAACAATACGAGACTTCCTCTTGCAATACTGTGTCTCTCCCTCGTTAGTGGCGTCGTTGGCTGGTGGCTTGAGCGTGTACACCAGCTTAGCCGGGAGCTCCTGAACCTTATGGGTGGCCTTCAGGGCATTGACCTCCCTCACGGTTGTTCTTCTAAAACCCTTCTCAACAACACCAAGCTCCTTCTGGATGGAAGGTCTCCACCTTTCCAGGAATTGTCGCACTTCTTGTGGGCTAACATTATGGGTGTGGCGCAAAGGGGTGCCGCTGCTGATGAGCTCATCGATAATGCCCTCAACATTGGAGGTGTACTCCGGCTCCATCTTAGCAACCCTTGGACTCATACATCCATCTTCGCCGCACCATTCTTCCACACACTGTGCAACATCATTCTGATACACCGCATCGGACTCAAAGCCCAACACACACTGCGAAGTTCTCCAAAGCAAGTCCGCTTCACTCACTGGGCCTTCTGAGTCACAAAGCTTCCGAAGCCCGCGAACAGTGTTTACATCTGGGTTCTCCTCCTCAACGTAGATCCCCCATTCTCCACAAACTTCATCATTGCCATAGACGGTGGCCTGCTTCACATCGTAGAGGGGTGAGCGAACTCCATCCAACTCATCCCAACTTTGCGGAAAGAAGGTAGCTTTGAGCATCGGTCTGGTTTCCAATGCCCCGTCATCAATTGGATCCGGAGGGTCTGGGAGAGGAAATCCACTGCTCTCCAAGTAGGACTTATCGGCCTCAGACAGCCGATGCACACCATGTGGGGTGTAGGCAGACAAGAACCATTTTTCACCACTGTCCTTCAAGTAGGCGTGTCTCAACCGTGGATTGAATGATGCCGGGGTACTTTTAATATCGACTAAACAGCCTTCATGGATCACACCATCATCAGACATCCACTGATGATCTGCCGGCCGCTCGCCTCCCTGAACTCCACGTTCACGTTCATCATCCTGTACCCACAGCCCAGAGTATTCTTCACATTTAATTTCCATGACATAGTTCCTGGAACCCTTCTGGTTGTGAACATCACGGTGCAAAGGTACTTCGGCTGCATGCTGAAGTGCAATGGTAGTCCACGTATGATCGCCTTCGCCTTGCGTCTCCTTCAGCCTTTTGCTCAGAAACTTGTTGAAGTACAAGGCCGTCCATCGTAACTCCTTGCCATAATTCGTGACTCCAAAGGTGCCACCGTGCACGTAGGCCCCCAACAACAGTCCTCTACCATTCTTGGCGCGGGGCACCCTAAGATTTCCACAGCCGTATCCAATCTTGTCCAAGAGTGCTGCACAGCCTCCTGCGGTCGGGATGCCAGCCTCGAGCATCTTCGCCGCCAGCACCTCGATCTCGTAGATTTCCGTAGGACGTAGTATACGGACCTGTGGTTCATCCGAATCTTCGTTTGTAGTAGAGGAAGTCCCCAAGTCCACCTCCGTCGGCGACACATAGTCCGGGAAGTAGGGTTGAAGTTGTCGAACCGCTGGGCCTTTCTTGCGCGTTCTCACCTTAGGAACCGGTAATAGTTCTGGATCATCCACTTCACTCGGTGGGCTTGACGGTGGTGGTAGAGGAGGTTCTACACTGGCTTCAGGTTCAACTATAATCGTAGGCGCAACCTGGTCAAGTGGGGGTGGGTCCGCCGCTACCCTCACATGAGTTGTAGTCAAGAAGGTTCCTGAAGGCTTCAAGATCACATGTCCTCCTCTGACATCGGTTGACGGGCCCAAATATTTACCCTGTAGCCAATGGGGGGTAAAGCTCTCCGCGTCGCCCGTCTTGTACTTCTTAATCTTCACGTACACCTTCGCGCCATAAGCTACGGGAGTGGGATCCCGAATGCCCAGCTTGCTACATCGCTGCTGAACTGCAGCAGTTTGTATCGCCGTGGGCCAATGTACTCGTGGAAGTTGCCCTGCATCTAACAGCGTCCGGGCACGGCGCTTCAAGTATCTTACTCCTGCCTCAGCAACTCCATTTTCGGCCGGCTCAGATCCCGTAGACGTAGTCCTCAGGATTCCCTGGCCAGCCAGCCATCTCTTTACCAAATTTCCGCGGAATTCTCCTCCACGATCTGAGTGAACTCTCACCACCGGGTACCCGAGGGATTTGATCTCCGTGACCATCTGCTGCAGGGCAGGTAAGGTATACACAGCTTTCTTGCCATTCACTGGAGCACAGAAGTATATGGTCTCCGTCTTTAGAGGCTCCTTGAACGTTGCCTTCAGCTTCTCCCATTCCTCCTGCTCCTTCTGCTGCTCCTCCACACTGTAGTCGGGGATCTCCTCCTCGAACTCATCACGAGGTTCTACCTCATCATCGGACAGCTCCTCCTCATCATCCGGATCACCACCATGCGGAAGAGGATGTCCTCGTAACTCATCATCTCGTCCAATCCCTCCTTCAAGCACCGGAAGCCTAAACGCTCCCACAAGGAAGAACCGGAAGTGCTTGCCATCCGGTGACAGACCGTGGCCCTTGATGGGGCCTGCTATATCAAGTGATAACGTATAGGCCGAGGGATGCATCGTAGCTCGGCGCTGCCTGCCCGTCGCGGCATTCCTCACGCACACCGAACAATCCCGTCTATACGGGGTGTGGTTCTTCATCACGTGCAGCCTCCAAGCTGCATCTGAGTCCAACTTTGCCAAGCGGGCCACGCGCTCGCCGGTAAACCTTTGAATCGCCACATCCACCAGGCCCATTTCACTCATGTATCCAACAGAGTCCTTGTTGTTGCTCCACAGAGTAGCAACAGTGAGTGATGCATTCCGCTCCGGGGCCGCCAAAGCCCCAGCGTCCTCAACGTACAAGCGGACAACATCTCCTCCTCGGGAGGCTCTTCCTGCAGAGGATAAAGCATGCAACCAATGCACGCGGGTCCGGTGTGGACCGGCTGAGAGCTGGTCCAGTGGCTTTGGAGTGGCATCTCGAGCCACAACCGTACTTACTCGGCCTTGAACAGCCGCCCACCAAACAACTCTCCAAACATCCTCAAAGTCATTCTCGGCCAGTAGAGTGTTCACATTGACATACACAGCCTCCCCTGAATAGGCCAAGTGACGAAGATCATCCCGTCGACGCTCCACCGCCGGAGGGTCCCATCGTACAATCCAAGACGGTGCCCTCAACAATCTCTTCCTCGCTCTGCGGTTCAAGGTGAGAGCCTTCATGAGCTCCCAAATCCCTTGCCGAGGCTGTCGTATCACTAAGTGGCTATTCAGAGTGTCCTTGTAGTCGAAGAACTCGGCCTTATCCACCGCCCGACGCCCTGCCTCGGTGCTCCCGTGCCTCACATACTCCATCAAGCTTGTCCACCAACTCTGCTTCACGTCATGGATGGCCTTCATCGTCGTAGTTGTAGAGTGACGTAGTTCGGGGAGCTGCTTAGCCTCAAGAAGGTTAATCAGCTTCGTGGCAGTGGCCTCGGGGAGCTCCGGCTATTCTGAGAGGGAGAACTTCACCGTCTCCTCCTACAAGCTCGCAGATTTTCTGGTTCCAGTGGAGGCGGTAGCCTAGGGTGGAGATAACTCGTCCCAGGGGGACGATGACTTGAGTTAAGCCATCGTCGGAAAGCAGCGTGCCATCTGACGTCTGTTTCATCTGGACGCTGGAATCTCCTGCAAGTTGAACCTGGACGTCCCGAGCTTCTTCCCATTCAGTGCTGCTACGGGGCCTCCTCAATATGTGCGTTGCTCCGGAATCTAGAAGGGCATCTCGGGATCGCGGGGTTGTAGTAGGGGAAGTTGAGGCAGTCCAGCTCCGTATTGCACTCAGAATGGGCTCCAGAAACTCCAAATTCCGAACCTCCTGCAAAACTCGTAGTACCTTCATCTGAACCTCTCCAACACCCTCAAAGTTCACCTTCCTGACCGCAGCCTCCGTAGGGGATGTAGTAGTTGACGTTGCGCCCGTGTCCGGATTAGCTCTGCCAGCTCCTTCCGGATGGCTCCAAAGCTTTGCTTTGGACATGATTAGATGCAAACGAGGTGATCGATATAGCAAACATCGCGTATGTATACGAGAGTTGGCGTATGTAGAATACGCTGGTTTGGATATTATATGAATGCTCGGGATCTCGAGATGCATGATGCGTTGATCATATGAACCACCGGCATGACAAGCAAGATGCCATGGAGTGCATCATGCATGCATGGAAGCATGACCATAGAACGGGCGCATGCCATTTTAAGTGGCAAAGCCAAACACGGAAGCATATATAGCCCAGAGTGCCCAGAGAGAACACGTCAAAAAGGGCATCTTGCTCGAACCATGCTGGCCAAAAAATTGCAGCCGTGCTTTTCCAACAGCAACCGTGTGACAAGAAGGCATTGTCTCTCATGCCGGGTTTAGCCCAAGAAGCGTCAACAAGGCAGGCTGGTGTGTTTAGGGTTAAGCCGACAAACGCCGACCCGGCAGGCTGGCGTATTTCGGGTCACAAGCCCGCACAAACGCCGACACGGCAGGCTGGCGTTGTTAGGGTTTATAATGCATAATGCAAGCGTCGACTCGACATACATATTTCAGCGGCAACGGTGCAATCAACACGTGTCACTTGCAGAACCCTTGCCTTTGCTTGTGCACTTGCACGGTTTAACCCGACAGACGCCGACGTGGCGGGCTGGCGTATTTAGGGTTAAACCGACAAACGCCGACGTGGCAGGCTGGCGTATTTAGGGTTAAATCCACAAACGCCGACGTGGCAGGCTGGCGTATTTAGGGTTAAACCCACAAACGCCGACGTGGCAGGCTGGCGTCTTTAGGGTTAAACCCACAAACGCCGACGTGTTTAACATGCAACCACCCACCCGGCAAGCAAGTACTATTATCGAGGCAGCGATCGATGCATGCAATGCTCATCACTTTCCTTGCCTCTGCTCATGCACTTGCGTCAATACATGTTTATCCCGACAAAAAACAAACGCCAACGTGGCGGGCTTGCGTATTTAGGGTTTAACGGACAAACGCCGATGTAGCAGGCTGGCGTATTTAGGGTTAAGCCGACAAGCGCCGACACGGCAGGCTGGCGTATTTAGGGTTAAGCCCACAAACGCCGACACGGCAGGCTGGCATTTTTAGGCTTGGATTGGCAAGCAACCCAAAAAATTATAAGGACTTATAAAGCCAAGGAAGAGAAAGCCTTGAGCCAAAGGGTGCAAAAAAAATCCTACAAAGTCTTTTGTTGAAAAAGCAATATCTATCTATATATATATATATATGTGTGTGTGTGTGTGTCTATGCCTGTGTTAATATATACACACATAATGCTCATTATATATACATGCACACATATCCACATACACACCTACATGCTTGCAAACGTACATGCGCAATTCCTGAGGGAAGAAGCACGAGGGTTCAGGTCACTAGTGCACGAACCTCATGACAATGCTTTCGGGCTTGAAGACCTCTACGATTGAGACTGTTACTAAGCTTGGGTAGTCGGGTAGTTGGGTCTTTGCACACAATTTGAAAGGCTTGTTTAGGTTACCCTCCTTCAGGTCTTGTCTGCTGATATAAAGCATCGTTCCCATAAGCCCTCCTTCTAACATGGAGTGCAGTAACTCTGGGTCTAGGGCCAATACCATCCTTCATCAGTGGTTGGGCTCGGCACAGAACTCTAGTGAAACGACTTTCGGGTATAGGGTACTATTGATGGCTTATGCACGAAAGCGGTAAGGGAACAATCGTCTAAAAAAATAAACTTCAAGCCCCTAACTCCTAACCCTCCTCTCATCACCTTCCCAAACAATCTTTCAGGTTTGCAATGATGACAATCGTAACGTAGTTCTGCTTTTGGTTGATGGAAGAACGACCCAGCAACGAAGAAAAACACAAAACCCTAAACCCCTAAACACAAAACCCCTGAACCCTAAACCCCTGCACCCTAAACCCAGAGTACTGGCAAGCCCGCAAAAGCCTTCTCTTTGACAACGGCGGCCTTTGGTGGCTGTGGCCGGAGGACTGCCCCGGGAGGGAAGCTTACTTGCATGCCTCCGCACTGTCCTTAAAGCGAATTGCTAAGAAGATCAACAATCGTTGAAAGAATCTCGTCATCATTTGTGCAGCATGGCAGTGAATGCCAATCTGTTTAATTTGACCGAGGTATGACTCGTCTTGGAAACACTGCATCAGCAGTCTCGGGTTCAATCGTGTACGCTTCACATCACGTGCCAAGTGATCCACTCCATGATGCTTCGGACGTAGTTTCCATCTGAAAACGTTGTTTTGAACACATCTCGCCGCTAAGCCTTGCCAGTGCAAGAGTCCTTTCATCAACAGGTCGTGGAATTTTGTTGCATGCTTTTGCGGGAGAATCAAGTCATGTTGGTCCAAGTACCACAGGCCACAGACCACGCTGAAAACACCACGCGCAGGCAGCACTGCGCGCGAGCACAGGAACCTGAATTTGGAGAGTAGCTTCAAAGAGTTTAAACATGTTTGAAAAGATATGCTTAGCCCAAAAAGCAGAGCACAAAGCAACCATTATGTTAATGTAAGCTGCAGAAAAGAGACGTCTGTGGCACTGGCTAGAGCAACAGCCTTTTGCGTTAAGAACCAAAGAATGATCTTCACATCTGCAGCTTTCCAAACGCTGCCCAGCTCGGCAAAGCTTTTGCCCCCATTTGCCAGACCTGTGTTCGATAATGTAAAGCACCTCCGTCGAATCGAGAGCCTCGGTTGCAGGAGAAATCATACCAAACGATGGTTCTATTTACGAACATACAACATATGACAGAACTTGAAACCATACCAACAGAAATGGCGAGACCCGTTCTTTCGACACACACGATGCATTTCCATGGACAACGCTCGAAGTTTTTCTTCCGGTGAACCCAGCCGGGGCTCCAAGCAATCATGTTCCAGAAACTCTGCCAGGAGGCTTGGAATCAGGTCTCGAAATATTCCAAGATAAAACATATGCATAGGATCGCGGAATGCTGTGCCAAGCGTCCAGCCATCGACTTGCGCCCAAGGAGATATTTCCGAGCACGTGCGGAGGTAGGTTTCGTGGGAAATGCATGTCAGTCGATGCACGGCCTCTGCTCGGAAGTCCCGATAGTTCATTTGTGGATTGGCCCTCGCAAAAGGCTGGCAGGCCATACAGGATTCACAGCAAAATGTGCATCGATAGTAGCGCTCCCAAAAAAAGTTGGCTTCGACCCTGGCTTTGGCATCGAATCTCATCGCGAAGTATGTGGCCCTGCTAAGGACGATCATGGCATGAATTTAAGTTACCGCTGTATAAATCTATATAACAAAATCCTATCTCGAAATCCCAAAACTCTAATGCTAAATCTTACAAGCTAACCTCCATCCAAGCCCCAGGGGTTGGCCTTTCATTCTGAAACGCAAAGATTTAGGATGGAATTCTTCTCCGTCCATCCCTTTGTCGGGAAACACTCCTTTCGCAGCGATTTTGAGACTCCAGGCGGCCAGCTTGGCCACACGGCGGTGAACCTCTGCAGCCACCTGAGAGAATTCCTAAAGTAAAAAAAGCCTGATAATCGTCAACTCCTCAATTGTGCAGCCGAAATACATCATCATCGTACATTGCAGAATGCGGAAGAACCACCATTGGAAATTTGATATCCCAAACCTTTGTTGATGATATTGCTGTAATGATTTCCATGGATGCAACAACAGACTTTCATACCACAATAAAATTCTATGCAGTTAAGAAACGTCGCCGGAAGCCAGGGCACTGGAGAAGCTCCACACCAAGTACTCAGAATTCGTGTAAAACTCTGCTCCGTCTACGTGGAATATGAATGGAATCGTACCTAAGTCCCACGACACCGAAACCTATTTAGTAGTTTCGCTATATAACAATATAAACAGGATGCCTTCTATATGATACGCAGTGCCGATAAGACTCATCCGATCTCCTCAGAAGTGGAGCTGGCGAAAAGTGGATGGTTTTTCCATTCCTCCAGCTGCTGGACGTGCGTCCAGAACTCACGGATTGCAGGGCGGTCTAAAGTTCCGGTCAAGGATTTCGAAACCTATCAGGGATGCCGAAAAACCACTGCAGAACGAAACTCCATGTGTGTTTCTACACTAGGGCTGCGCCTGCACGGCTCCCGCACATGCGATTGCATGCAGAACCTCGTGAGGTAGTAAGACTGGAATTTGGATTTCCTGCACATCTGTTGATGTGGGCACCTCGGAATCATCACTCGTTTTGAAAGACACAAACATGCTTTACTTGTAGATGCTGTTGCAACACGCATATAAGAAACTGAGTTCCACCACATTGACACGCATAGGGAACGTGTACATCTCTAGCTGTAGATTGTGCAGTCTTTTTAGCCACCGGTGAAGATCCCGTTCCTCGTTCTGGGGGCATGCACCATAGTTTCCAAGGGATGCAAAGAGACGGATAGCTTCTGTAGGCGTCGCAGAGTCTTGAAGTTGAGCTTGGGCAACAGTCGTAAGAGTGCGGATATGGGAGCGCCCAGACCCGATCATACCTGGGAAGCCATTCGTCATGAAACACTTAACCCCATAAGCCATTGACCCCATAAGCCAACTTCCCTAATGGCTTGCAAGCATCAGACCGTAGTTGGATTGCAGATCGGGGGTCTGCGGTGTTCTTAACTTCTGCGGAGGCACGTAAGAAACACTCAGCTTGATGACTATGCGGAAGCTCTTCATACCGTCTCTTTCGGGATGTCCTCTCTGGCCTTCCAACTTTCAGGGTCGCCTATGCTTCCGACTTTAGGCTTTACCTGTAGTCTCCATTGTAGTTCCTTTTTGGTGATAGCTTATAAAACCCTTAATATGTAATTGGTTAAACCAAAAAAAGGAACTACAATGGAGACTATAGGTAGGGTATAGGGTTTAGGGTTTGGGGGTTAGGGGTTTAAAGGTTTAGGGCTTAGGGCTTGGGGTTAAGGGTTTGGGGGGTTAGGGGTGGGTTTGAGGGTTTGAGGGTTTAAGGTGTAGAGAGTTAGAGGGTTAGGGGTTTAGGGGTATAAGGCTTTAGGGCTTAGGGTTTAAAGCTTTTTGGGGGTTAGGGGTTTAGGGCTTAGGGTTTTGGGGGTTAGGGGTTTAAGGGTCTAAGGGTGTAGGGCTTAGGGTTAGGAGGTTAAGGGTTTTAAAGGTTTAGGATTTCGGGTTTTGGGTCTCCAAAAGAGAGACGAACCTCGCAGGAGGCTCCGGAGTATGGCTGGCTGCTGTACCTGGCGGAGGCAAGAATCAAATGTTCACATATGATCACACTTTAGAGGTTATAATATAAGAATCGCATTTGATCGAACTCTTTCCTCAGCAGTTGCGAAGCATCACTCCATGGAAGGGGTACCAGATCTCTCAGAGACCGTGCACTCCATTGCAAAATCCTCGTGGCTTGCATTCTGTAGATTGGGCTGGGGCCCTTATGAAACGCCATAGCCTTAATGCTACATGTCATCATGATAGGAGCCAGCGAGGAAACAATGTCCCCAGGTCTTCTGCATATCTACACCCGGCATCTAATCCTCTCACAGCAAAACTCTCGCAACTCACAGCTTTAAAAGCCCTTACGATGCTGGCTGAGCAGGGCCCTGATCTCCCTTCTTCTCCGCATCCTTGTCGCCCTTCTTTGTTTTTTTCTTGCTCTTCAGGCCCTGGAGAAGGCCGCGCGCTGCAGCCTGGGAGGCATCCCAGGATGCGTAGGTCTGGGTATAGGGGTTAGGGTTCCGGGCATTGGGAGTTTAATAATATACGGTATAAGACCTTTGAAAGTTCTGGCTTTGGGTTCTTAGTTTGCTGAGATATGCTTCTGTTGAAGTCAGGAGCTGTGGGGTTTCGGACTTAGGGTTTAATGGTCGTTGTGGTTACGCTTTGCATAGGCATCAAATCTGGGATCGCAGGATTTTGGTTATAGGTTTTACATAGTGCTTTCGGGTCTGTAGCAGCGAATCTTTTTTGGGCTTAGGGTGTTAGGACGGTTCTGGGGCTTGTATCGCTGATGGAGCCGGAATAGCTTCTAGATTGTTGGGTTTGGGAGTAAGCTGCTATCATCTAGAAGTTTTGACTACGATCGCCATTGAAGTTTGAATGGTGCAAGAAGGGTTTTGGATGCTAAGGTTTAAGAGTCTTCCACACCTCACAAATGCTGATTCGAGATCAGCTCACAAATATTCCCAAGCAGTGACTAGTCTGGTTTTAGATGTAGGGCTTGGGGTTGTGGTTTGTGTTGAAGTACCACTGACAGTCAAAATCACCTTATATCATATCCCCCAACACAATTACACAACCGGACTTAATTGACCCTAAACTTGAAACCCTAAACCCTGATCTGCCCTGCCATGCGAATCTATTCAAAGCTCGTGTCCCAAAGGCGTGAGGATTCCATCTATAGGCCCGAATATAGTCCCGAACCGCACTCCTGCAAATCCGAGCCTAAACCTCAAAACCCTAAAGCCCTAAACCCTAAAACCCTAAAGCCCTAAACCCTAAAACCCTAAACCCTAAAACCCTAAAGCCTGAACCCCCTCCCATTGCCAACGATTCCAAAAGGCTCGAAGAAAGGCTTGAAACCCAGACTCCGAAGCTTAACACCGTAACTCTTCGATGCACGGTACATTAGCCCCAACACCATAGAATTCTTCGGACTCTTAAGAGGTCCAACTCATTATAGCCCGAAGCGATGATTTTTGACCCCATAATACTATACTCCCCAACCCGTAGTTCTAAGCTATAACCCCATATACCCGGAAAGTTGGGCCTCAGCCTGTTTGAACCATGCGTTCTTCATGTCGAGGTCGGCCAAATAGGGGGTGAATTTGCGGTCCTTGACATGCTTCTTGAGGAGAAGCTTCTGAAGGGAGTTGTAAAGCTCTTCCATCTTCGTGGAGAAGTCAAACAACTCATCCTTCAACTTGTCCCCGTACTCCACATGCTTCAATCCCAGGGCCAGTTTTCTGGCAGCCCCACCATCCTTCAAGATATCCTGCAAGGCAGCGTCCGCGCGCCTCAGATATGTAGGAAAGCTTTACAACTGGTAACGAACAGGCTCTTTGGTTTGCGAATAGGATTCTCTAGGTATCACAAGCCAAGCTGCTCCTTGTCACTCGTTGGCACAATCTTTTCCGTAGTGTCGGTACGAGCCTTCTTGGGGGGCTTCGTCTTGGAAACCTTGCCGCTCAAAGCCTCTGCCAAAGCCCTCTCGCCGTCCGCACCGTCTGTCTCCAAGGCAGGCAATGCCCCGGAAGCGAGCGGTCCCTGCTCGCCAGTCATGGCAGCAAGGAGGCCGGCATCGGGATTCGTCTCGTTGCCCCGCAACTTCATCCTGTTGGCAGTGGAGTTCTCATTGAGAATGCTCCGCGGGGCAGACGTGTAGTAATAAATCTCCTGGCAGCAATCACAAGCCCACAGTCCTCAACCCCAAACATAACCCGTCTAGCTCCAACTAGAACAACCAAAGACCCATCATTAAAACCCAAATTCCCTAGAGCGATAAACCGCAAACCATGCCGAGGCTGTAGGCTGTAATGACTCGGAAGAGGATGATTAATTTTTCTGGTCGATGGTATGGAGTCTAATTAGCTTTAGGGTTTAGGGTTTAGGGTTTAGGGTTTGGTTAGGATTGAGTTTGAGATTGATATAGGTTGGGGTTGGGGACTAGGACGAAGCTTTTCAAGGTCGGCTTTCCGGGGTGTGGGGGTGCTTTCGAACTTCTGGGCGTTAAGCTAGTTCTTCGAAGCTTCATGATTTATGAGGGTGCTTCAAGGACTAAAGTGTCCTCCTCATCCTGTGGAAACTCTGGATCCCAATACCAGCGCCCCTTGCTCTTCAAGCCTTCAACCAGCTTCTTGCCTTTCTCCTCCCCATACTTGAGGAGAAGGTCTCTGGCCTTTGCAGAATCGAAGCCCGCGCGTGCTGTGTTCTTGTTCTCGACTTCACGCTCGACCACAATGGCCACCCTTGGTAGTTTTTCATGAGCATCGCATTATGGAGTCTGCATCATGAGCATCACAAAGAAATATACGGAACGAAATTGATGACCAGTTAAAGGAAGGGGCTTGTGAAGGTCTTGGTTGTTGTCCAGCCACAAGTTGAAGAGGTCCACTTTGTCACGTGTGAGGTGGGAGCCGAGGGCGATCGGGAACTTTTTGCGGTCTTGACACTGTCGAGAAAAGGTGTCCCACTCTTTCTTGTTGGTCGCACCTTAGCTGTTTTGATATTTTCATCAATAAGAAAGGACTTCTATTTGCATCAGAATCAGAATCATAGTTGGCTCCGAATCGCTGTTCCGCCGGGTCGTTTCCTCAGCAACCGCCGCCGCATTCGAGAGCTCCGCTTCGGCTGTCGAGGGTGCCTTTGAGGCAGCCTGACTCCCATCCGCCCCGGCGATGCTGGCATCCGAATCGCTTTCCGAGCTGCTGGAGGAGTCTTCAGAGCCGGAGGACCCGTCCCCCTCCTCTCCACTGTCCTCACCGTCTGCCTCCTCGAGGTTCTCTGTCTGATCATCCCCCAGCTCCTCAGCATCCGAGGCTTCCTCGGACCCGCTCTCGGAATCTTCGATCTGATCTAGCAGCTCTTGAACCTGTCGACTGCGTGCCGCTTTCTCCTCCGGCGATGCCTGCTCGAACGAAGCCAGTAAGTCCTTGGCGGTGCCATCTTTCTTGACGTCGTCCTTGGAGTGCTTCTCCTTCTTCTCCTTCTTTTCTGGTTTCTCCTTCTTCTCTTTCTTTTCTGGCTTCTCCTTCTTCTCTTTCTTGTCCGTAGGTGTCTGGGTCACGGGGGGCGACGACTTGCCGCGGATCCTATGGCTTGCAGCGGCGTCCGTGCCGGCAGCAACCTTAGGCTGCTTCCCCGTCTCTTTGACGCTGCTCTGGGCGCTCGGGGCCTTTCGCTTTGGGGGGGCTCCTGTCTTGACTTGGGCGGGTTGGTCCTTTTCCTTTTTCTCCTTCTTCTCTTTCTTCTCTTTGGATCGGCCGCGGGACACTTCGGCCTGGGCCTTCGTAGTATCTTTTCGGCCACCCATTCTGCGCTCTCTGCAGCACCGCTTGGGTCGCCAAGATCTATGATCTGTCTCAGCTAGGGCAGCTTGATTGAATGCGGCCGACAAACAAGATTTGCCCCCCCTTGCATAGATAGACTGCTACTACCGACATGGGTGTGGGCTGAGGATCGAGGCTTTGGGGTTCACAGCGTTCTCATCGTTTGATCATACTATCCACCCAGGATTGTTCTATTCTACGTAGAAGACGAGCTTTGGAATGTCGAATGTTTGGGGGTTTGCCTATGGTATCAACCCAACCTCGGGGGCCTTAGGGACTCATCATAACTGCTGAATGGACTGGCGGTTCTGTGGCCCAAACGGTTGCTTCTGCGGGTGATATATCGACCCACAAATAGTCTTGCTGTTTTGGGGTTCATGCGGTTGCTTCTCTATTTCTGCTACTACTACGGGGTGAACTTGGGGCTTGCACCGGCTATGCAATGATCATCCTGGGGGATCGTGTATGTAGCCTTGGATCCTCTTACCTTTCGATCATCTATAGACCCGGCAACACAGACATACTTCTGTATGTGTCATGAACCATTGGCAGTCTGCTGGCTCGTGATGTATGAGAATTACGGCTATCGCGACTTTAGAGCACAGGCTCTGGGAATCATCTGTCTGCATCCACACATGTATGTATGTATATGTATATATAGATACATA